AGGTGGACAAATGAAAGTAAAAACACATTAGGAATAGAATTCTTAAAGAAGCAGTTCAATAAGAAACAGTCAAAGCAAAACATTCATTACGTTTCAGCAACAGAACGTAAAAGGAAGCTGAAGCATGACCGCCACCTATTTTCGATTCTGAGCCATATCTTATAAGGTCTGAAGCCACTGAGTTGCATGATCTCTCAGACCCTGCTGAGGGAGTCGTGATGCACTAATGGATGGTAACTCCACAAAACTATCCTTTATCCCTTTGCGCCACATCATACACTGACCATCTCTCTATTTCTACCATTCAGTCCCAGGACTAGCAAACGATGAACAGTATGGGAGACGTTAGGATGGCGTGCGCAACACGTATCCAAGCCACCAAAGTTGGTGTTTCCAGATGACTTCACTTATTGAATGACGATCTCTATCATGCCCAAAGATATGTTGTCGTACCTCAGAATTACTTACGTGGTATTGCCATTGGATACGAGCAATCCTGCAGAAACAACGATGATCGAACACAGAGTCGTCACAAATCCTCAGCTCGGAAAGGCCAAGTTTCACAGGCGCAGGGCGGAACTGCTTGCGCCGAAGCGTTATAAAGTCGACCTTTTACGGTCAAACTAACGTTGCGATGGCGCCAAAGGTGGGACAGATTAGCGTATGCCACTCTGGCTTTCGATATGCGGTTAGGAATTTCACCACATCACTGTAGTCAATTTTGAGTCTAAATTCTCTAGTCACTGATTTTTCCATCTTTTAGACTCGTAAAAATTACTATTAGCACTGAATAGCACTTTAGGGTAGTGACATTAAGCATCTAATCATTTGACGTTTCGCTACACACCACTTCTACTTCATCTGGGACCGAACCTTGGTGTAGTCGTGGTAGTTCCCATGGGTATGCAACCATCACAGCTACCATCACTGCTTGCGTCTGTGTAAACTTTGAGTCATTTGGTGTTTCGAGTTCTTTCACTCTTCACTGTGGTTTTAGTTAGTCAGAATCAGTTCTGATACGTTAAGAGGATGTGATAATAGGCATTAAATTTTGCTTGGAATTTAATCGAGTACATACGATGTTAACATGTGCTAAACTACACTTTTATGCAACCCCCAATTTCTGTTGTTACACTAAAATTCCATTCGCCCAGATATAAACCAGATAAGCACGAAACTGGCTAGGTCTATCAGGCTATTTTTAATGTAATTGACAGTCACGTATATACGCATTAAAATCAAACTGTTTCATATTCTTTAAGGTTGCACTTATGGTGTTGATAAATTGGTCACAACATTAGGCTAGTTAGTCAACAAATTCTCGTGTTCACAGAAAGCCGTTTTGGTTTTTAAAAGAAGAATACTTCCATTTTTAGTCTGTTTATTAGAAATATCACACAGTGAAACAGTAGCATTTACTGGATAACGTTTTGGACATAATTTATTGTCCATATTCATATCGGGTAACTCCACAACTTTGAGACCGTCTTTATATAGTCCTAGTTTTCTCTCCTTCTCTGTGATGACAAGGGTAGTAGAATTTTCCATATATCTGGGACAGGTGCAGCATCATTTCGATTGCATGTGTTTGGTGTTGATTCGATAAACAAAGATTCGGTTATCAATCTCTCCCTCTACCCAACTAAGTTTTCAACACTGTCGCCCTATCCTACCCTACTGTGTAATTGTGTGTCATCGTATGCGGAGCTATAGCCAAGTTTTTCTCTAGATTTCTTATCTTATTATGATCTACTAATTTTGATTTAGCTAAGTTTTTGTGCTCTGTTATTCTAATCGACCCTGGTCGACTGCTTTGACCTATGTACTTGTCCTCGCAATCATTGCAAGGGATCTGGTAAACCAGATTATTTTGCTGAATTGCATCGATAGGATCTTTCGACCTACAAAGCTTGTTTCTAAGTGAGTTTGTTGGTTTGAATGCCATTTTAATCCCAGAGTTATTGAGAATTGTTCGTCGTGCTTCGGAGGTGCCTTCCTTGTATGGTAACATGGCAGAGGCTTTGAATTCTCTCTTAATCCTGTCACCATTATTACCACTAGTAGTAGGATTATTATTAATAACATCTGTATTACTACTACTACCACTACTAATGTTTTTCTTCCGACTTCTTATGAATTTATTTATAAATTTTGGTGGGTAATTATTGAGACGTAGGGTGTTCTTGATATGTCTAATTTCTTGTCTCAGATTTCCCGATCTACTAGTAAACTTTTTCGCTCTACCACCTAAGCATCTAACTAGGCCTACTTTAACTGAAATGGGGTGGGATGATCCGAAGTCTAAGTAGCGATTCGAATGGGTAGGCTTCCTGTAGACACTAGTCTCTAGATTTCCTTCTTGTGTTCGTTTAATCTTGCAATCCAACATTACTAGCTCACCTTCTTCACTTTCTAAGTCACAGGTAAATCGAGTTGCATTTACTACTGAATTTATATGTGCCAAGAACCTATTGATGTGTTCTGATTTCAGTACTGTAAATGTGTCATCTACATATCGAAACCATATCTGTGGAGTAGGACTAAATGTTTGAAGGGCTACCTGTTCCCAACTATCCATAAATATATCTGCGACGATAGGGGATATTGGTGATTCCATGGCAACACCTTTAGTTTGTTTATATATTTTATTTTGAAACTTAAAAACTGTAGATGTTAGGCACAATCGTACTCCTAGTATGATTTCCTCGATCGGCAGCTTAGTTCACTACGTAAGTCCTTTGTCATCTTTAAGCCCATTTCGAACTGCCTCTAGAGCCATTTCAATCGGTATGTTTGTGTAAAGGCTAGTTACGTCAAAACTAACCATTTTTCACTGTCATCTAATCTATGCTTTAAGTCATAAGAGTTAGTAAGTCGAAACTTTGAGTGATTTCTTATTGGACCTAACACCATTGCTAAATATTTAGACAACTCGTAAGTCGGAGTGTTTCTAAAATATACTATAGGCCTGATGGGATAACTTGGCTTATGAATCTTAATAGTACCATCCATTCTACTGGGATTATTAGATTTCGGCATTAAATTAAACCACTTTGACTCACCTAGAAATGGCTTCATGCGGCGTATCAGATCTCCTGTCGATATATAAACACTGTCTTGAAGTTGTGGAGTTACCCGATATGAATATGGACAATAAATTATGTCCAAAGCGTTATCCAGTAAATGTTACTGTTTCACTGTGTGATATTTCTAATAAACTGACTAAAATGGAATTACACTCGACCACAGTGCCCAAGTTTTACACTTATATTAAAGAATACTTATTGAAACGAGATCACAAATATTTTAAGCCTCGTTGCAAATTTATTGTTTATCGTATACAACACTAGTTAGGCATTTTGTTCTCTTGTAAGCCAAGAAAGAATGTAAAGTCATTCACAAAGTCCTCCTGCTGGGATGAAGTTTTAGTAAAATATCATGCAGTTGTTGTTATCAGTGATGCATTCGTTTTTGCTCAACCCCAGGTAGTATCATCAATAGTCGTTACACACAATATGTGCGGCTAGTTGGCTTCACATGAATTTGCACAAGGTTCCTGAGTGGATTTCGGTTTTGTAGTAATAATCTGCCATAAGAATGAAGTATTCGTTTTGTTGTATTCTCTGAGCTGGATGGCAAAATAGGGAAATGAACGAATAGCAAGGCATGCCTAGATGAGAAATAAGTAAATGTAAGATAATACCTCATCGAAATATCCAGCACATCCAAAAGAATAGGTAAATCTATGCTAGTGTTATCGATCTTTACCTGTACCACTGATTCGTATACTAATTCACGAAACCTGGCACTCAGGCTTACAGCTCGGTGCTTTCTTAAAAAACTGTCTAATATTGTAAAGTTTTATTTATTCTGATACTGAATGGAATTCGTTTTACAGTTACAACTTCTAACCATTTATTTGCTGTTTCCTAATAAAATTATAAAAGATTTAGTTTAAAGCGTGATCTCTGTAATGAAGAAAATTCTAATTGAGGAAAGCAAAGTGTTCTCTACTTTCTTTTCATAAATTTTAGCTTTGAAATGTACCTGGTACTACGATTGGACTGTTATTTTTTGAAGTCATATGGGATGTTGTAATTGTGAAATTGGGGCTGTAGGTCATTGTTCAAGGTAGTCGATTTACAATCACTAGGTTGTGAATTCCCACTCCATTCTGCCTATGAACTCCGAAGTTACCTACACGTTCGTGTAGCAAACAGTGAATCACATTTATTGTCTAGCTGCCCAAAACTTGGTGAGTGAAGCGGGCTCCAAACCTATGACGTAATGGTTGAGAGTTGAGTGCCTAGGCTAATAAACCACACCTCTAGGTAGTATTGTTGGCTTTTATACTATGGATGTCTAACGTATAGTCTAGTAAATGAGTCTGTACTTGGCTGCTGACCTACATCCCTTATTTTCCACTCATGTGTATACTTTTATCGAAAATACCTAAAAATATTTAATGTCTACTACTTCCGATTAGATAAGTATACAAACTCAACTTAGTTTCAGGATATTAATTTATCCATATGTCTAAAAAATACTTGATTAGGTATATTCATCTTGGTGACTCACAGTGGAATCTAGAACGCAGGTTTCGTCCTGTTTACGACTAGTCAGCTGGATCCATCTGTACCTCAATGAGTGGTGTTGTTCTGTAACCCAGTACCCATCGCTTCAAACGCCAAAGCGTTATCCACTAGGTTACTGGGGCAGCAACACCCAGCTGACGAACCCCAAACAAGATGAAACGCACGTCATGTATTCCACTGAAAGTCACCAAGATGAATACAACATTATGAATATCCGACAGTGTCGAGGCATCTGCATTGGAGCCCGTCTGCCAACAGAAGTCGAACAATTCGACCCTGTATAGCATTGGAAAGTTACAAGTATCAAACATTAAATTGACTAAGTTCATTAATTGTTTTATAATTTGTTAACTACTAAATCATAAAAATAATGTCTTGTTTTTAAAACAATATTTTGATTATCAGGATGGTACAATCGTTTGAAGCAGAATTTTCTCAAAATATTGATGGACATGTTGCTGAAGTTGATACTCAAACATTATCTGGTGGTGCTGAAATTAATCGTGTATTCCATGAACGTTTTCGATATGATTTACTCAAGGTAGTGAAATAAATGTTTTTTAAAAAGTATTTCTTTAGTTAAAGTAAGGAAAAGATTATAGCTGTTAGATGACATGTTATGCATCAAAATATGCAGTACACATGTTTTGTTTATTTTTTACGTTTTTGTGTACACTAACTTATCGATCACCTATAGGAGGCAGGGTTTCCTACCAATTATTTATTATAATTGAACATTAAATCAGCTTTCAGTTAGTTTTGAAGTTTTTGGGTTGGAATTCAACAAGGATTGACATAAGTTGGAGGAATATTGGAAACCTGGGAGCACTGGACAGCTATGTCTTCCTAGTTGGGGACGCCTCATCAGTGCGCACCCATGATCCCTCCCAACCAGGGGTGGAGAACGGGACCTTCAGGTTCCGCAGCCAGCACGTTACCATTGAGCCACTGGGTCGGAATTCAATCGTGGTTCAATGTTAACGTGCTGGCCACGGAACCTGAAGGTCCTGGGCCCGATCCCTGGCCGAGCGGGGTCATGGGTGCGCACTGCTTAAGAGTTCCATGCTAGGACGGAACAGCTGTCCAGTGCTCCCAGGTTTTCAATGTTCCTCCACAGACTTCAAGATAGAAATAATTTTGAAGTGTTAACATTTAGCTATGTTGTACATCATATTGTAGTCTAGTTGGTATCTAGCAGTGGGATCGAGGATAGGCGTTTCGTCCCATTTGAGACTCGGCAGTTAGATTTACCTTCACCGCAGTATCAGTAAGCAACAACTGATACCCGTTATAGAGGAGGTGCCTCAGTGGCCTAGTGGTTGACGTCTTGGCATTTGAGGCAATAGGTACTGGGTGCGAGTCTCAGTGGGAGCAAAATCACCTGAGTGGGGAGGGGGGGGCACATCTAGCTGACGAGTCCTAAGTGGAACAGAACTTGTGTCCTGCATTCTACTGCTGACCACTAAGCAAACGATTACACATTGAATATTTAAGCAGTATTGAGGCCTCGGCATAGGAACCCATCTGTCAAGAAAGGCAAAGCAATTCGACCAAGTGAAGGGACAGGAAATGATAATTATCACTGAACATGTAATATATCGTTGACATTTGAAAATTGTTGTTTGAAAAAGTTGAATGTTACTTTAATCGAATAACTCGCATGACAGTATTGTAGTTGGATTTTGAAAAATATATGTACCATTCAGATAATCCTCAGAATGCACACAAATATATATATATATATATATATATATATATATATATATATTCGATTATTTCCAAGGTGTTTATTGAAAATTGTCCTAAATCTCTTCATAATTATTCATATTCTAAATGTTTTAAATATGTATACTTAAAGGTGCACTTTAATTAATCTTATATTATACTGAGAAGTTTCTCAGTTAAAGTTATGAAAACAATTTGTTGTTTTTTTACACAAAAACATGATATCAGTGTTTATAAATGATGCTTATTCTTTCTGCCCGTCTGATCTTCAGTATCGAGGGTAGGCAGCTGTTGATGAATATCTGTAGTTTATTGGAAGTACTTTCGTAGCGCGCCAAGTTTCTGAACCATCACATAGAAGCACTGATTTGATATTGGTGTTGAAAATCTGGGTCTTGTTCCTCGTGCTGCGTGCAGTTGATCTCCACGCTGATTTCAGATCAATGAAAGCCTGTCTTGCTTTTCTGATACTGGTTCTGACATCCTCTTCTGTGCCTATAGCGCCTGTAGTTGAAACGATGCTGCCTATGTAGATGGGTAGGTGAAAGAGACTACTTCTTTTAGATCTCTCCCGTTATTGGTGATTGGTGCTTGTTGTTGTTGTTGGTTGGGTACCTTCATCACCTCCGTCTTCTCTACATTCACTTGAAGTCGCGTCTTCGCTGCCCTGCCTCTTCTATCAACTTGTTAGTTTTTGCCTGTAGATCTTCGAGTTTGTGTGACATTAGCCTTAAATCATCATCATCATCGGCGAAGTTCTAATTTTCTAAGGTCTTTTCATCGGTCCAGCGTATGCCCATCTTTTCACAGCTCCTCACAGTTGTCTGCTACATAATCCAGTCCAACACAATCAGGAAAACCATAGGTGGTAGTAGGCGGCAGCCTTGTCTTACTCTTGGCTCCACTTCAAAAGCATCACTGAGCTTCCCATTGTGAATTACTTGGCATGCGGCGTCTTCATATAGTTGTTGAATGAGGTTGATAAAGATTTGTGGCACTGAGACCGTAGTGTTGAAGCAACTAACTGCCTGCCAAATTACTTCTCGGTTGACGCTGTCGAAGGCCTTTTCAAAGTCGATGAAGTTGAGGTAAAGAGTTGCCATTCTGCCATTCTACGCTCTGTTCTATGATGATGCGTAGGGTAGCATTGCAATTCAGTCCGCACATGATTTGTACTTCCTGAATCCAGCCAGCCTGTTCCGGTTGTAGTTTTGAATCCAGCGCATCTTCTAGTCTCTCCAGGATGATGCGGCATAATATTTTGCTTGAGGTGGACAGGAGCATGATCCCTCGTCAATTCTTGCAAAGACTTAGATCTGGTCTACCTTCTTTGGGAGTTTGACAAGATAGCCCTTCTTCCGATCAAAGGGGCAGGCACCTTTCCTTCCTTCCTTGTAAACCTTCTCCAGTAGTGGTGTGAGCATGTCCGCTGTTGTCTATGCGTCTGTTTTCAGTGCTTCTCAAGGAATTGCATCCGGTCCTGCTGCTTTTCCTGATTTCAGCAGTTTTATGGCATTTCAGGACTTCGACTTTTGTCAGAGGGCCTGTGTTCACTGGTAATTCTGCCGTTGCTAATGTGTTTCTGGACGAGTTGCAGGTGGTGGTGGTGGCGGTCGATTGAAAAGTTTTTGAAGTGGTCAGCCCATTGTTTCCTTTGTTTTTCCTCTTTGGTAACTAGGTTTCCTTCTTTATCTTTCATTGGTTTCGTCTGAGTTGATCTCTTCTCGGATAGTAACCTGATTGTTTGATATAATGTTGTCAGGTCTCCGTCCGTCATACCTGCAGCCTGTTCTGTTCCACTTTCCAATATGTTGTAAAAGTGTCTTTTTTCTTTGCACGCACTCTCCTTCACTTCTTTGTACAGTGTAGTGTTTTGTACGTTGTACTCAGTTCTTCTTTTCGTTGTGCATCCTTGCATTGGTTCGTCTTCTTCTTCCTTCGTAAAGCACCTAACGACAGATCATTGCTTACTTAGACAACCTATATTTCTTCATACTTTACATGGAGCTGTGTGTGATTTGTCCGACTGGTCGTATGTTCGAGACCTGTTCCACCTGCCGCTGTCTTGGCACCCAGGTAGTGTCGTCAGCCCTCATATAATAGGTGTGGCTCATTGCTAGTAACACTTCATTTGGCCATACCCCCACATAAGGAGATACAAAGGTGAACGGTAGAGAAATGAAGACTAAAGTAGTTGTTTTTCCCCGTTGCTATACAGGGCTGAATTGCTCGATTTCCGCTGTTGATAGATGGGCTCCTATCCGGAGGGCGCGATACTCCCGATTATTTATTATTTTGTACTCATGTTGGTGACTAGCAGAGGAATCCACGGCGTATGTTTCGTCCTATTTGAGACTTGTCAGCTGGACTTACCTCCATCTCAGTGAGTGATGTTCCCACTGAGACTCTAACCCTATAATCATCGCTTCAAACGCCAAAGCGTTATCCACTAAGCCACTAAGGCACGATAACCACCTCTTGTACAACGGATGTCAGTTATTGTTGGCTTAGGGGTTAGCGCTTTGGCGTGTGAAGCGATGGTTACTGGGTTAGGGTCTCAGTGGGAACAACATGACTCAGTGAAGTTCAAGTGTATCCAGCTGACGAGTCCTAAATAGGACGGAACGGGCATCCTGGATTCCTTTACTAGTCACCAACATGAATATAACAGAAGAATAAAGTAGTAGTATGGGCAATAATTATTGTGTACGGGCTTATGATGCGACCCGGTTGCCTAGGTCGAAGTAGACGAAGTCAGATTTGAAACTGAGACTTATTGTGTAGAAGTCGAGTTCACGGTTATATATGTATAAGCACTTGAACAATAAGCTTCAGATTTCACCCTTGCTTAGTTCTTCGGTAAGTAGAAAAGGTGGTAAGACGACTGAAGGTCTGCTGGAATTCTAAACTATGTTCAAAATACAACAATTTATATATGTTTACTGATTTCATCTCATCAATCAATATGATATTTACACGTATGCTCACGTTCTTTTTCTTGAAACTTCGAAGCAAAATGTTTGATCGTTGAAGGTTTGGGGGATGGGGATTAGGGCTTCTTACAAGGGTCGGATCTGGGCAATTTCAGCTGAGCAAATAGGTTTATGAAGGACTTTGTCACTTATTATCTTCAAACATTCTGATGTCTTGGGAAACAACATTATAGAAAATGTGAAAACTTATCCGAAACTGATGACTATAAGTTGATCATAAATAAATTCGTGATACCACCGTTACTTATACATTGTTTATCATCACTATGTAGAGATTTTTTATATCGCTCAGATATTACAGTAAAACTGATGCATGTAGTATTTTTGGAGATAATTGATAGCCAGTTGCAGTACAACAACACCATTGAAAAGACCTAGTACTTTAAATGTTTGGTGTAATTGATTAAGTGAACTTAGATTAGTAATTTTCTGTTACTGCTTAAATGAATTGAATACCCAATCGAAACTTCAGGATCCAAGTGTAGATCAGATGTAAACATTGTAGTCTATTTGATGGCTAGCAGAGCAATCCAGGACACGCTTTTCGTCCTATTTGGGGCTCGTCAGCTGGGTGTATCTGCACCCTCATGAGTGATATTGTTTCCACTGAGACTTGAATCCAGTACCCATCGCTCCAAACGCCAAAGGGTTATCCACTAGGCTACTGGGGCACGAGAGCCATTGCTTGGTTCGGGTCTCAGTGGGAACAACACTCACTGAAGTGCAGGTACATCGAGGCGACGAGTTCCGAATAGGACGAAATGCGCGTCCTGGACTTCTCTGCTAGTCATCAAATAGGTTACAATATAATGAATATCTGGCATTATCGAGGCATCCGCATTGGATCCCATCTGCTAACAGCAGAAATCGAGCAATTCAGTCCTGTATGGCGACGGGAACTTACGAGTAAACAGATATAAATATTTTGCATCAGGGGGACTGAAGTATTGTTTTCAACGATTTTTATTCTAAGTGTGGTATGTAATATGATTTCAATTTTTTGGGTAAAGGAGCTCCTAGTTAATGATGGTTATCATAATATCTTCCTTGGGGTTTTTAAGACGTTGTGGCTCATTTGTATAGACGTGACTTCCTTAAAGTATTAGAAGTTGGGGTCAGACTGCACCTACGCGGCTTTTAGCAGTCAAGTAGTATCTCTTTCCATCGCGTTAAATGTGTGGATAACAGCCTGATCTATGGAGTTGTGTATTTTTATTCGATAGGAATATCATTTGTTCTTTATTGATACCGAACTAGTTTAGGTGGAATGTTAAGTTACTTTCAGATTTCCACTGTTTCATATTACCAATCCGAATTTGTTCACTTGAAAAAAAACCAAGCGAAGGATAATCATCAGAAGTACTATTGAAACTGGCTAAGTCTGTGGTAATGAATTCGTAGGTTGAGGTGGTATGACGTATCATTGGTAACCACCGTTGATCAGTGAAAATCATTACAGCGAAGAGAAATCAATGATTGGAGAAACATGATAGAAACTAGCAATGTGTGCAGTGTAAATAATTACAACCGAAGCAAGTTAAAGCAGAAAGTAAAGGCAGCATAGTGGTGTTTATGGAGCTGTGGTTCATCGGTAAGGGGTTCAAACACAGCTCCACCTACCGAGGTTTGGACAGTCAGGCAGTATCATTAGCCTTCACACTAGGTGTGGCTCACTGTATGAAATTGCACAAGGCTGCTGAATGCATTTTAATTCGATTCGACAGTGGTGTTCGGGGCTGGTCATTACTTTTATCCATTTCACGAATCTCATACAGGTACCTTTCAGTTTACGATTCATAGGTTCAAAGTTTTACTGCATGGCACATAACTTACCATTACCTAGACCGAAATGTAGTTCTCTAAACCTTTGTTTTTAAGAGGCTGATGCCTGAAGAACTGTAAGAAGCTCTTAGTTTGTGCACGAACATGTTTTCTGTATGTCAGTGAACTACAACTTGTATCCACATTTTTACTCCCCTGTTCTTGTAATAGCAGTAAAATATCTTCTTTCTGCTTTGAAGATTGAATTCGATGAGAAAACTTTACGAAAAGAAATCGCTGTTGCCATTCAAAATATTCATGGTGTCAGGTAGGTCATATTCTTTGGTAAATTATTACCTCCGAAGTTGTATAAGCTACAGGTCAGTTATTGCTCTCATTTTTATGTGTTAATTTATAGAATAAAGTGGTTAGCCTTCAACAGTGTATAATCTTTTGATTTCCCCTTGTTCGTTTACTGGAGCTGAACTGACTAGCCACTGTTGGCATATGAGCTCCTTATGCGCATGTCTTAATATTACCGGTAATTTCGTTTTCCGAATAATCATAAAAATTGAATAACAATGGAAAAAGTATACGCCTTTCGTTCCATCTGGAATTCGTAACCTAGATATACCTACCTACCTTCTAAGGGGGGTGTTGTAACTCACTAGCGTAATGGACAATCGCCCAGTGTTTGTATCAGGTAGGTAAATGTCTGTCTTCGCAGCATTGTTAGTGTTTGATGGAATCACTGTGTGAGCAGCGCTGTGATCAGGTGAAGTTTACTAGGAAAGACAGGCAAGCCGATTAATGAGGTTGTGGATCGTCTGAGATGGTTTGAACATGTACTGCGCATGCCGAGCCAATGCCTACCTTGATGTGGCACGCTAGGGGAAGTTGGATTAGGCTAGAAGAGGGTTCAGGGTAGCCAGACCGTAACATGACACCAGTCGATGAAGTCTTTTACTGTTGGTCTGAGTCGTTTGGGGACGATGCAGACTGCCTAGTTGAGGTTCCGGAGACAAAAATAACTAGTGGTTGAGGACCGTTGGTGACTTGGCTGAAAATTGGTCGCAAGGGTGCAGATGTATTCACTCCTTGAAATCTAAATCTTGGTTATTTTCACTAACCGTAATCTTCAAATCGTTTATTCTCTCATATAACTTCATCTACTTTGATTTCAGTCTTTTTCAACCCACCTGTTCTTTGTGTACTACTTTGAAGTGTAGCGAATTGAGCCGATGCACTCGTATGCGAGGTTTTTACATTGATTATGTCAGTCAGTCAGATAGACAGACAGACAAAATCAGCTCAAAACCTCTCACACAAGTGCACCGGCTCTAGTTAGCACACTTCATATTAGTATGCAAGTAATAGGTGGATAGAAAAAGACTGATACCATAGTAGACAAAGTTGTATGAGAGAATAAACATTCTAAAAATAAAGGTTAGTGCGAATATTCAAGCTTTTAAAGATGTTAGGGGTGAACATACCTGGGCCATTGTAACTGTATTTGATCCATGTAACCAAGAGTCCACAACCACTGATTCCTTTCGTCTTGGTGACCCCAGCTAGACATTCTACATCTTCACACACGGCTCAGACCAACAGTCAGAGAAGGACTGGTGTTATTTCACGGTCTGGCCACCCTGAACCCTTTTCCTTCCTAGTGAAGAATTCTGGATTCGAGTTTTATTCGGAACAACAATGGGAGGCATTCACCTCTTGGCATTGAGTCCTAGATAAAACAAACCTCCAGCCCTAGTTCTGTTGCCAATCACTTTTCATCAAATTGCCAATAATACTAAGACATCCACATATGTAGTTTATATACCGACAGTTCAATCCAAATATATCTAACTCCCGGTTACAAACAAACAAATCAACGTAGAGCCTGGCATACAAGTGTTCCAGTTCAAGTTGCAACGCTTCATAGCAGCATGCAAAGAAAAAGTGGATAGGAAAGGCCAATATCAAAGTAGAAAAAGGCATGTGAGAGGAGAGCTGATCAATAGACGAAGGTTAATGGAAATGTTTAAAGGTACAAACTATCATGTCAAACCGTGTCCGTTGGAAAAAGACTGGCTATCAAACTTCAATAAGCTACTGGTGTTTGAAGCGATGAATTTTGGAATTGAGTCCCAGTGGGAATCAACACACTGAATTACAGGGAAAAATACAGTTTACATTCTACACATAGCAAACCAGTTACTTTATTTACATCTATTTGGATCGAAATATGATTGCATAAATGTATTGTGGATCGCAACATTATAAATAATTTTTGTTTCGCTAAATATCCAGCCAGCTGATGTTAACATACTGATATACTCAAGGTCTGTGACAGTTTTAGTGAACTTGTTATATATCCCCTAATTTTGCCTAGCTTTTGTCTGATATTTGCTTATAACCTTAAAATAATTATATTATTCCTGTTTTCCCACTCTCTTGACGCCGTGGCCAGCTTTTGTTTTTCCGACTGCTTCCGAAGGCTGAATTCTCACTGATTGTGTCAACTCTTTTAACTTATCAGTGAATTTAGTGTTTGTCAGGGTCGTTTAGAATGTGTATATTCAGTATCACTCTCAACTCACTCTCAAGCTGGCTGCCAACAGTCCATCTTTTCTTGTCTTCACGTGTCGGTGGTATTGTTGTTCTGGTGACTGACGTTCTGATTAGCGTAGATTATTTTACGCGTTAGGTTTGTATCGCTCGTAGACTGCTATGTCGTATTACCGGTCATAGCAGAACTTTCATTCACTGACAAGTGAAACAATTTAGCTAATTGTTGTTGCTGTGGTTACAATCTGTATTATATTTATTCCACTATTGCTTATATTTATCACTTGATTTTATGTATATATGTATCATCAAGGCCCGGATTATTCACACCAGATATGGCATTCGATGCCACAGTGAGAAAACAAATTGAAAGACTTCGAATCCCTTCACTCAAGTGCGTTGATATGGTCGTCTCCAGATTAACAGATGTATTACAGCATTGTAGCGATAAGGTAAGCAACAATGATTTTAAGACAAAGTTAGTTGGTTAACTTTTATAAATGCTGAATTCCAAATGAATCTCAAACGCCATTTATGTGTAAACTAGTTGTGTGATTGCTCAATTTTAGATTGTAGCGTAAGTGTTTGAACTGTTGAAATGCATCTTGGCGTATGTATGTGTGTGTGTCTATCACTTAATTCATTAGTTTGTGGAGATGGCTTCCAACTAATGGGTCATAGATTTGAAAACCGTTCCGCTTACCGAGGTTTGGGAAGCCAGATTGTGCAATCAAATCTCACGCAATTGGTGTGGCTCATTGCCTACTGAATATGTACAAGGTTGATGAGTGCACTTCAATTTTATATAATGGTCAGAAAAAATAGGGCTAATAAGATTTTAGCGTCGAATTCCGTCAGAAAAAGCGTGATGCAGGTTCTTCAGTCTGATTCCTTTAGGAAACCTCTGTGTATCAGCATACATTCTACATTAGAGTGAATCCGTAGTCATGATCTAAGAGATAAATATTCCGTTTTCTAGGCTTTAAGTTTTCATCTTTGAATCAATGTGTTGGTGAATGGTTATTTAGTAAGCAGAAATAAAGAACGGCTTCATACACACCACCTGACTGAATAGCGATTCAATCCTCAACACTGAGTAACGTTGAATAGAATTCCTGCGGTTCTACCAAGGGGTTTATTGCATATAGAGTCAGCTGGTGGAGCTGTGGCTTACTGGTCTAGGCATTTGATTTCGAACCGATGGGCCATCGGTTCGAAACCTACTCCACCTACTGAGATCTGAGGAGGCGGATATTGCCAATACCCCTCTCGTAGTAGGTGTGGCTTATTACCTGATGCCTGAGCTTTCATGTGGTTGCTGAGTGGATTTCAAACGAATGTTCACTGACGACAGTGGCTCATTAAGGGGCTACATCATGAGTCACCAGAAGTTAAAAAATGTGACCCATTCAACTTTAATACAGTGACTGGATAAAAATGTATTTGCCTTAAGGCCTGAAAGTCTTGAGTATCATCATTTATGCAGTTGGAAATTCATACTACTGATATCCGAACTAGAGTGGTTTAATGTTCCTTAGTTTACGATGTCTGACTATCCGAAAACTGTCTTCATATTGATTGAATCGAATAAAATCGAAATGCACTCAGTAATCTTGTGCACATGCGTGCAGTAAGCAGTGAAGCATACCTATTATATGAGGGCTAATGATATTACTACGTGGCTGCCCAAACCTCGGTAGGTGGAGGGAGTGGTATTCGAACCCGTAGTTCATTGGCTGAAAGTCATCTCTCTCTCACACACACAAATTGTTCAACTTGATCGATTTCTCAGAAACTAATTTAACGAGAATTGAACTCCCGTAGACAACCCGTACTGTTGACCCCGTCTACTTCAAATAAATGTTATGCATTATTAGAATTCGTGCTGTATATTTCTTTAAGAGTAATTCTGATAAAGACCTGTATGTAAACAGCTACTATGGGTCGTGACAAAGTTGTTTATGCTGATACTAATTTTTTGCTGTCATGAAACGCCATCTAATTCTGTAATCTTAGGATTTCTATAATTTACACCTGTTCTTATCCTTTGTATCTATTTCTAGTGCAGTGATTAGTTTTGTCACTGTGTCAGGATTGATTTGTGACTACTGAAAACGATAGGGGATCCAAAAATATTTGCACGAATAACAGATGTGCCGTTGTTTGTATTTCTCGCCAGTAGGTTGTCTACGAAGACGAGTCATTCAAGTAAATAGTTGTACTGGTTTCACTTACTTCATTGAGTGTTTCATTCAGTTGCTCAGATACTCGATAAGTCTGCAGAATCAAAACTCATTTCTTATAATTTAGCCTAAACCTTCATGCAAAATCATGCATTTTATGATCTAGCATGTTATACTTTGCGTGTTTGTCTTGCATTTCAATAGCCTAATGTAATACACTGGTGAAGTGATGTTGTGATTTGTCCACCAATCAATCTGTATTGATGTGAGACACCGAATGAATCTTTCATAAATCTTTACTGAATGAATGCCAGAATTCAGAATGATGCTTATGTAACCTATTGTTGGTAAAATAGCGTGTGTATATATCAAATGTGTGTTACAAGATAATAATAATCTCGCGTCTCATCCTATTTAGGACTCGTCATCTGAATATACTTGCCTTCTAGTGAGTGATGTTGTTCCTATCAAGACTCAAACCCGGGACCGATCGATTCGAACGGCAGAGCGTTATGCACTAGGCCACTGTCATGATTCCCACTTGTGCGACTAGTATGACTTTTATGTTGTTGCTTGTATTACCCCATCACTGGTTTCTGTTAGCATATATATCAACGACGGGATAATGCATAAAAAATAATAATCGCTTTATTCCAAACAATATGTTGGATGCAGTATAGAATTCTCAGCGTGTAATATTTCAGAGAATCCACTCCCAGTACAATATTCTTAGGCGATATAATTACCGCATTTGAATAATAATAATAATAATAGTAACAATAGTATTAAAGATAATCATATGAAACAGCCAGCTGGTGTTAGATTAGCATCTGGTCTGAAAGAGGGATGGGGGTGGAGGATGAATAGAAAAACGAGCGTAACTTGGGTGGTGGTGACGGTTCATTCAACCAATACAAGAATCTGCAATTCGAGTTGATTATCCTAGTAACAGTAATTTTGTGCATTTAAAAGTCTATTTCCATCTACGTGACATTTTTTATTCATTTTGTTGTTAACTGGAATAAAAGGTTGATTGAAAATTTTTTAAAAATGTGTCAGAATACATGATATGTTCAGAAGATTGAAAAAAATTGAAAGGAAACAATTTAATGTAATATATTAGATGGAAAATATTTTAGTAACCCAGCGTTCAACCATGCTTCCAGATTTTGAGTTGCGTGACCCATAACTAGTTTTCGACGAAATAGTGGTTGGGCATCAATCAATCAGTTATACAAACAGAAGAAAGTAGAGTGTGTATCACAAAGTTGTATCCGTTTTAAGCTTCTACACATTGCAACAGCATAGAGAGAAAATCGACGGAACTAGGAATATATTAAACTAAGCAAGAAGGTAAGAGAGAATAGATGAAATAAGGGAAATAAAAAGTCTACAATTTTGAGGTTGATAAATAATGAAGGCATTTATACTGATGTTATCAATTTCAAGTCATACCAATGAATGACTCCAAGCACTGGTTCTCAGCAACTTAAGATCTCTAGCCAAGCAATCTACACTTTCCCACGGAGCCCACACTAAGAACCATTGAGTTCATGGATTAATACCTTGTCGGGATCCAATAGTCCTTGGCTTTCTTCCAACCTTTAGCTAACAATGCGCATAATAAAGCTCTGGAGAACTTCAGGAACATCTACCTGAGCTTAATATCGTTCATTCTTCGATTCCACTACACATCAGCGATCCCGTGAAAACACCTTTGATGGAAAACCAATAACTTCCATATGTTATCCACCTTCAGTAGCTACGTTTTATACTTATACATTAGTTAAAGAATGACTGTTGTACAACCTACTCTCCCTTTGATAAACAATCAAAAGTGTCATTAACTCCGTAGTTTGGACAAGTTAGAAACCGCCAGACGAACATTGGTATTCTTGCATATCACTTTTCATTTCTGACTGTAATATCCATTACTGTCCCATGTTTCCTCAAACTTTTCTAGTTTCAAGAACTTGCAACCTAATTAGTGGAGTCCTAGAAAAATTGTGTGTTGTGTTTTGTAAATTAGGCCAGAAGTGGTTACTAAGATGAATAATCAGGATTAACTATATATCGTCACTAACTAGTCCATGTGAATGACTCTTCTAGCCAACGATACTGGTCTGCATATTGGTCTTTCCCATCCTATTACTCATTAGCTTCAGTATGCTTGCATTATCCATGAAAATAGCGTGAGGTGACAGTATTTTGGTGGTGCCTCTAGCCTACTTTTAAAGCCTATGTTCTGAAATTGGCCCTATTGGTATGCATAGAGAACAGATCATATTCTTCTCTAAACCGTAAACTTAGTTTTATTATCCAATCGAAATGCACACAGTAGCCTTGTCCGTATTATGCAGTAGGCGATGAGCCACAAGTAATATGTGAAGGCTACTGATACAACTCCCTGACTGTTCTAACTTCGTAGGTGGGGTTGGTGGTGTTCGAACCCGTGACCCTAAACTAATAGACCACAGCTCCACTAGTTTTACTATTGTTGTCATTACTATTATTGTCATTTTTTCTTTTGTAGTGCTTCTCTTATTTCCTCCAGGCGTTGTTCTTTACCATTATTGATATATCATTGTTTCCAATTCCTTGTTCCTTTCCTATCTTTGATATCCTCTTACTGAACTGGTGTGAAGTTTGACAAGTTGTTGAACCAATAAGCCATCACACTAGCTCCTGAATTACTCAAATATTTAGTCTGTAGAGAGGAAATTTCAATCACTGTGACTTAATAGCCACTGGAACATTCTTTTGCTAACCAGTAACGCGCACTTGTTTTGTGAGTTGACTCATGGTACAACTCATTCAAACATCTATTGCTGGAATTTGGTATGGAACTCATGTCTTACTTTTTCAAAATCCAAATGCTTATAAGAGCAATCCGTTGATCTACAGGGATGGAATAGGATTAAAATCTCGTTAATTAATCATCCTTTTTGCTTATTATCTGTACACAGAGAGAGTACTGTGGTCTGAATACCAAAGGCTCCTCGTTTTCAACAAAAAGTATTTTCAATAATGATCTGTATATCTCAATTCGCTTCTTTTTACTTTCTATCTGCATAGTTTTTATAAACCTTCGTACACTAGATAATTAATTTGAATTTCTGATTACCGATCTGTCTGTTGAGCTGCTCATGAGGGACCATTACAACTGCTGAGATGGTCAGTTACGTTTCTTTATGGAAAAACTACCTTCTCAACTGAAAGTACCGAGACCTGATTACTTATCTCAGTAGTTTCTAGACTGGCCTTTAAAG